GATGGCATCACCAACTCAATGGAGATGAATCTGAGTGGACTCCAGGAGTTGGTGATGGACAGGGAGGCCAGGCATGCTGTGGTACATGGGGTCACAAAGAGTCAGACACGACTGAGCGACTGAACTGAACTGAAAATGAATATTGTTCCTAAACCAAAAGAGGAGATTGCACAGAAGAAAAAGATATCTTAAAAGAAACTGAAGAAACAAAAACTCATGGTCGGGGGCAGGGGGAGGCTGCAAAAAATAAATGCAAATAAAAGTAAAAATCAAGGCAAATTGGAAGTGGTCAAACAGGAGATGGCAAGAGTGAACATCAACATTTTAGAAATCAGCAAACTAAAATGGACTGGAATGGGTGAATTTAACTCAGATGACTATTATATATACTACTGTGGGCAAGAATCCCTTAGAAGAATTGGAGTAGCCACCATAGTCAGCAAGAGTCTGAAAAGGAGTACTTGGAGGCAATCTCAAAAACAACAGAAGGACCTCTCTTCGTTTCCAAGGCAAACTATTCAGTATCACAGTGATCCGAGTCTATGCCCAAACCAGTAATGCTGAAGAAGCTGAAGTTGAATGGTTCTATGAAGACCTAGAAGCCGTTCTAGAAAAACACCCCAAAAAGATGTCCTTACAAAAGATGTCATTACAGGGGACTGGAATGCAAAAGTAGGAAGTCAAGAAACACCTGGAGTAACAGGCAAATTTGGCCTTGGAGTACGAAATGAAGCAGCACAAAGGCTAATAGAGTTCTGCCAAGAGAACACAGTGGTCATAGCAAACACCCTCTTCCAACACAAGAGAAAACTCCACACATGGACATCACCAGATGGTCAATACCGAAATCAGACTGATTATATTCTTTGCAGCCAAAGATGGAGAAGCTCTATAGAGTCAGAAAAAACAAGACCAGGAGCTGACTGTGGCTAAGACCATGAACTCCTTATTGCCAAATTCAGACTTAAATTGAAGAAAGTAGGGAAAACCAATAGACCATTCAGGTATGACCTAAATCAAATCCCTTATGATTATACAGTGGAAGTGAGAAACAGATTCAAGGGATTAGATCTGATAGAGTGCCTGATGAACTATGGACAGAGATTCAGGACATTGTACAGGAGATAGGGATTAAGACCATCCCCAAGAAACAGAAACTCAAAAAAGTAAAATGGCTGTATGAGGAGGCCTTACAAATAGCGGTGAAAAGAAGAGAAGTGAAAAGCAAAGGAGAAAAGGAAAGATATACCCATTTGAATGCCGAGTTCCAAAGAATAGCAAGAAGAGAGAAGAAAGCCTTCCTCAGTGATCAATGCAAAGAAATAGAGGAAAACAACAGAATGGGAAAGATTAGAGATCTCTTCAAGAAAATTAGAGATACCAAGGGAACATTTCATGCAAAGAAGGGCTCAATAAAGGATAGAAATGGTATGGACCTAACAGAAGATATTAAGAAGAGATGGCAAGAATACATAGAAGAACTATAGAAAAAAGATCTTCACGACCCAGATAACCACGATGGTGTGATCACCCACCTAGAGACACACATACTGGAATGCGAAGTCAAGTAGACCTTAGGAAGCATCACTATGAACAAAGCTAGTGGAGGTGATGGAATTCCAGTTGAGCTATTTCAAATCCTAAAAGATGATGCTATGAAAGTGCTGCACTCAATATACCAGCAAATTTGGAAAACTCAGCAGTGCCCACAGGACTGGAAAAGGTCAGTTTTCATTCCTAAGAAAGGCAATGCCAAAGAAGGCCCAAACTACCACACAATTGTACTTATGTCACACACTAAAAAAGTAATGCTCAAAATTCTCCAAGGCAGGCTTCAACAGTACGTGAACCATGAACTTCCAGATGTTCAAGCTGGTTTTAGAAAAGGCAGAGGAACCAGAGATCAAACTGCCAACATCTGTTGGATTATCAAAAAAGCAAGAGACTTACAGAAAAATATCTACTTCTGCTTTATTGACTATGCCAAAGCCTTTGACTGTTTGCATCACAACAGACTGTGGAAAATTCTGAAAGAGATGGGAATACCAGACCACCTGACCTGCCTCTTAAGAAATCTGTATGCAGGTCAGGAAGCAACAGTTAGAAGTAGACATGGAACAACAGACTGGTTCCAAATTGGAAAAGGAGTACGTCAAGGCTGTATATTGTCACCCAGCTTATTTAACTTATATGCAGAGTCCATCATGAGAAATGCTGGGCTGGATGAAGCACAAGCTAGAATCAAGATTGCCAGAAGAAATATCAATAACCTCAGATATGCAGATGACATCACCCTCATGACAGAAAGCAAAGAAGAACTAAAGCACATCTTTATGAAAGTGAAAGAGGAGAGTGAAAAAGTTGGCTTAAAACTCAACATTCAGAAAACTAAGATCACGGCATCTGGGCCCATCACATCATGACAAATAGATGAGCAAACAGTGACAGATTTTATTTTTGAGGGCTCCAAAATCACTGCAGATGGTGGACTGCAGCCATGAAATTAAAAGACCCTTACTCAATGGAAGAAAAGTTATGACCAACTAAGATAGCAAAATAAAAAGCAGAGACATTCCTTTGCCAACAAAGGTCTGTCCTGTCAAGGCTATGGTTTTTCCAGTAGTCATGTATGGATGTGAGAGTTTGACTATAAAGAAAGATGAGTGCCGAAGAATTGATGCTTTTAAACTGTGGTGTTGGAGAAGACTCGAGAGTCCCTTGGACTGCAAGGAGACCCAACCAGCCCATCCTAACGGAGATCAGTCCTGAATATTCATCTGAAGGAACTGATACTGAAGCTGAAGCTCCAATACTTTGGTCACCTGATGCAAAGGGCTGACTCATGTGAAAAGACCCTGATGCTGAGAAAGAGTGAAAGTGGGAGGAGAAGAGGACGACAGAGGATGAGATGGTTGGATGGCATCACTGACTCAATGGACATGAGTTTGAGTAAACTCTAGGAGCTGGTGATGGACAGGGAGGCCTGGTTTGCTGCAGTCCATTGGGTCGCAAAGAATAAGACACAACTAAGTGACTGAACTAAACTGAAAAGTTAAAAAAAAGAAAAAGAAGAAAATGCAGTATTGCAAATATACTGATTCTTTCCAAAGCAACCTACAGTAGATTCTTGAACAAAACAGGGGTAGGGTAGTAACCCTGACCCCTGCACAGTCAAAACTTCACATAATACCTTACAGCCCTTCGTATCCTCTGTTCCACATCACAGATTCAACCAAATTTAGATCCTATAGTACTATTCACTGAAAAGTGAATAAGTATCTAAGTGGACCTGTGCAGCTCAAACCTGTGTTACTCAACAGTCCACTGCATCCCCAATAAAAATCCCTACACTTACACTTGGGTGAGTGGAGAAATTTGAAAGGCTGTTTCTAGCAATTTTAATGAAAATATAAGGCAAAATAAGCATGGGGCCAAAATAAGCCAAGACTTTATAATCAAATCAAGAGGGAAGACTTACTCTACTGCATCTTAAAACATTTTACAAAGCTACCATAAATAACTTTATATTGCCATAAAGACTAACAGAAGATAACAAAAAACAGAGGTTCTAGAAATAGATCCATACAAACATTGATAGTTCATGACAAAAGGGCACAAGAAAGTAATGAAAGGACAGCCTTTTCAATAAATGGCTATGCGTTAATTTAATATACAAATGGAAAAGTTATAAAAATTGAATCCTGTGTTACACAAACATCAATTCCAGGAGGATTACAGCTCTAAATGTTGCAAGTGAAAAACAGAGCTTTTAGGTAATAACACAGGAGGAAACATCCATGAGCTTGAGGTAGGGAAAAATTCTTAAGAGGACACAAAAGCAGTATCATACTAAAAAGATCAATAAAGTTGTATGTTAAACTTTTGCTGTTCATCAACAGACAAACTAAGAGAATGAAAAAGCAATAAGAGCAGGGGGAAAGATACTTGCAACATATGTAGCAACAAACAGCTTATATCTAAAACACAAGAAAAACTCTTTAAAAATCACACACACACACCACATATGCCATATGGCTGGGTCAATAGGCTATATTCATACAGTCAATACAGATACTACTTCAAAAGAAGAAAATAACAAACACATGCTTTGTATACAACATAAATAGCCACATATTCTTCTTACTAAAAGGACTTCTTTAATAAATTTGATGTCTCCATCACGCAGCTTTGTCTTTGTAGACAAAAAAATTTTAAATAACATTAATTTGATTTCCCCTTATTGTAAATCTTACTATTTTAAAAAATTTTTCATATGTAGATGGGTGTCTTCCATGACAGAATTAAAAAAGAGTACTGCAAAAAAATTGTGATGACGGCCTCTATGCTTGAATCTAGATTTCTCGAGCAGTGTTTCAGGATTCTGTATTTCAGAAAGGCATTATTTCAAGAAAAACACCTGAATTTAGCAGCATCTCCATTATTTTACCTGTATTTTGTTTAAGCAAAAAAAAAAAAAAAAAATTAAGTCAAAATACTTAAAAGCTTTCTTATATTAAAGATTTTTCATTTGGAATACAACTATATTAATCAGATAAATGTGATGTGCTTAATTAAAATCTTGCTGGCATAATTTCCACAAAGGTGAGTGAATCAAACAAATCATTTCATTCATGAAAAATGTGCACCACCTGTGGGTTCCGAGCATTCTGCATCCAATTCAAACTGATAACTATGTATCTTTGTGGTTAAGAGTAAGAAGATCTTGGGTTCACAGTTTTGACATCAGCCAGCCACCTATTTAAGTCAATTACTTTATTCTCTTGATCTCAGAATGCCAGTAAAAATTCCTATCTCCTAGATTCCTTAAAAGATTTGACAAGATAGCATAACTAATGCTCCTAATATATTGCCTGGTAAATATAAAGTACTGAGTAAAGAGCATTATAGTTTTAAAACCTGATCAGATGTTTTTAAGCAACATGGGATACTTAGTTAACAATAATATCTGTAGAGTTTACTGCTTTGTAATTAACATTTACCTGCAAGATTGTCAAGCATGAAGTTCAGTAGCTTTCGGGTTCCATCTGGGTCCTGGTATAAATTGAGAATATCCTGTGATAAAGGATTGCCTAAACAAAAGAAAAATAAAATCTGTTAAGAGTTACAACTGGAAGACAAACATACACGGTAAAACAAAACACCAATTTTTTAAAGTGAATTTTACTGTACTCAGTCTGTTAAATAAATTGAAAGAAGTCATATGAATTAAATACTCTGGTGAGATAGTCATAAAGAAAAACTTCAAAAGATCCCTTTCAGATTTCACTGTTTATTCTGCGTATCTATAATTTGGGTATGTCAAAATCACACATATACATACACACACACACATATACATATTAATCTTGGTCAATTCTGAAGTAATATCACAAAAATTGGCACTTTGAAGTAACCCCATAAGTTCCACATGTATCTTTGAAGACAATATTCTAAATGAAAGAAAAACAGCCTTTGTGTGAGAAAGAATGAGTGATACTATAGAAAAGGAGGGTCTTCCCAGTTAGAATATTTATATTACACATGGAGAAAAGGAAGATCCTTCAAGTGAAAAGAAAACTTATCATTACCAAGATGAGTTAGTGAAATATAGAAGGAAATAAGAATTTTTTTAATGACAGTGATCACTGGAATGATCACTGGATATTAGAATACTAAAAACAAAACTAGCTACTGTTAACAGCCTAAATGTTTTCTTAAGAAATAAAGACAGCATTTGTTAAGACAAGCATAAAAAAATAGTAACCAGATTTGAAAAAACAAAAAGTGTAAAACTTCCAGAAATGAAGGTTCTAACTATTAAAACAAACAAAATCTTTAATACAATACACACCAACACAAGTATCTAAAATTAAATGACACTGACCAGGATGAAGTTATTAGAAAGAATGTGGAGAACCTGGAACTCTCAAAAGTTGCAGGATCCTGGTGGAAGTGTAAAACAATACAACCATGGTGAAAACCTGGTTAGCTGTTTCCAACTGACTTTTAAGCGGGAAAGGAAACTTCCTGGGTTGATAGAAATGTTCTACATCTTGAGCTAGGTAGTGGTTACACAGATGGGTGTTTTTGTCACAATTAGCCAAGCAGCATCCTTAAGTATTTAGGTATTTTACTATATGTAATTGGGCTTCCCTGGTGGCTCAGTGCTAAAGAATTCACCTGCAATGCAGGAGATGCAAGTTCAATCCCTAGGTTGGGAAGATCCCCTGGAGGAGGGTATAGCTACCCACTCCAGTATTCTTGCCTGGAGTATCCCATGGACAGAAGAGCCTGGCCAGCTATGGTCCACAGGGTCACAGAGTTGGACACAACTGAAGCAACTGAGTGTGCACGCAAGCACGTAATCATAACTAATAAAGTACTGGGGCGTGGGGACCATGAATGAGGGACTTTCCTGGGAGTCCAGTAGTTCAGAATCCACACTTCCACTGCAGGGGCACACGTTAGATTCCTGGCTGAGGAACTAAGATCCCACATGCTGTGTGGGGCTGCCCTAGTATGTTAGTTGCTCAGCTGTGTCCAGTTCTTTGCGACCCCAGGGACTACGGCACACCAGGCTGCTCCACCCACGGAATTCTCCAGGCAATAACACTGGAGAGGGCTGTCATTCCCTTCTACAGGGGATCCTTCCAACCCAGGGACTGAACCCAGGTCTCCTGCACTGAAGGTTGGTTCTTTACCATCTAAGCCACCAGGGAAGCCCCCAAAACAACAAAAACAAAACAAAACAAGACACCATGAATAAGTTGAAGTTGCTCAGTCGTGTCTGACTCTTTGCAACCCCATGGGCCTACCACGCTCCTCCATCCAGGGGAATTTCCAGGCAAGAGTACTGGAGTGGGTAGCCATTTCCTTCTCCAGAGATGAATGAGTTAGGTAGTAGAATATACCAGCTGAAAAGAAAACAAATGAACAGGAAAACTATATTCAAAGAAATTACCCAGAATGCACCACTGAGCATCAAAAAGATGTAAACATAAGACAACAAAAATATGGGACTTAGAACAAGAAATCTTAATGTACAATAAATTGGAGCTCTAGAGAGAGCAGTACTCTGTTTTCTGCTCCAATATGTAAAGAGATTGGAAGCAGACTCTTGCTGAGAGTTCAGAGACTTCTTCCTGGAGGAGAGGGAGGAAGTTATCATGTCTTAAAGTTGTAGGTGCCCAAGATCAAGGAAACATCTGGAGCAAATAGCAGACTAACCAAAAGGTTTAAAAGAAAGAGCTTGGAAATAAGATGTAAATATGGGCTCTGAAAAGCTCTGACATATTCCTGGGACTCCAGAAGGTAATATGTATATGGAGACCTATGCACATGTTTAGGAAAAAGCCTAAAAACAGCCTAAGCTCTCACCTCTGTCTGACCTTGAGGTTAAGCAATGAAAGAAGTGAAGGGCATGGCAGAATTATAAACTTCCTGGCTGATTACTGATTGTTTGCCCCCAAACACACACTGAGCCACTTGGCCAAGAGTGGGAGACTTGCTGGTTACAGGCATTTATCAAAATCTCTGGCCAAGCATTAGCTGACCATAAACTGAATAAAGACTTCAATGGCCACACATGATAAAGCATACAAAATTAGTTCTGAGAAGTCACTAAAGCAATAAACAACATACACAAGCAGCAGCAGCAACAGACAATCCCAGGAAGGGGAAAGAGTCTAATTTCAAAGTTGCCACATTATTTTAAACGTCCAATTCTTAACAAAAGAACCTACAAAACACACAAAGAAACAAGAGAGTATGTCCCAAACACAGGGAAGAGACCTATCAATACAAACTGTCCCTAAGAACAATAAAAACTGTACCGAAGGATTTACTAGAAAAGACTTTGAAATCTACTATTTTAATATGCTTAAAGAGCTGAAGAAAACATGCCTAAAGAATTAAAGTATGATAATGACATCTCACCAAATAAAGAATATAAAAAAATAAACAGAAATTATAAAAGGAACAAAATAGAAATTATAAAACTTTTAAAAAAAATCACTAGAAGGGCTCAAGAGCAGTACTGGACGGGCAGAAGAAAAGATCTGTGACCTTGAAGAGAAGTTATCTGAAATTACACAGTCTGAGGAAAAGAAAGAAAAAAGAATGAAAAAAATTAACAGAGCTCAGAGATCTATCAGACAACAAGTATACCAACTTATACATAATGAGAATCCCAGAAGAGGAGAGAAAAGAACAGGAAAAAAATTTTAAGAAATAATGGTCAAAAGCATACCAAATTTAATGAAAAACATTAACAGAAGAAGTCAAATAAACTCCAAGTAAAATAAAATGTAAGAGAGGCCCTGGACAAATTATAATACACTGTGCAAAGTCAAAGAATCTAAGATAGAAGTGACACATGGTGTACAGAGCTTCAAAATAAGATTAAGATCTGATTTCTCATCAGAAACCATAGAAGCCGAAAGGCAGTAGAATTACATGTCCTGAGTACTAAAGGAAAAATAAAAAGAACTATAACCAGGAATTCTATATCCAGCAAAAACATCCTTCAAAAATAAAGGGGACAGTAAGATAGTCCCAAATAAACAAAACCTGAGTTTCTCACTAACATACTAACCCCTCAGGAAATACTAAACAGATTCTGTTAGCTGAACTGAAAGAAAACAGAACAGTAACTTGAATCCATACGAAAATCAGAGCACCAGTAAAGGTATTCCACACACTAACATATAAAAGACAGTGTAAATTTAATTTTCTAACTTTTCCCCTCCTATCTAATGTAAGAGATAACTGTATACAGCAATAATTACAAATCTATGTTGACAGGCACACAACGTAAAAAAATATTTGTAATGATAGCAGCATAAAAGAGAAGTGAATGGAGATACAGATGCAATGTTCTTTTATATTACTCAAATTAAATTGCTACTAATCCAAATTAAATTACTGTAAACCAAGATGTTGACGGTAATCCTTAAGGTAATCACTAAGAAAATAACTCAAAATAATACAGCAAAAGAAACAAGGAATTAAATTGGTACATTGGAAAATATCCATCTAGCACAAAGCAGGCATTAATTGAGGAACAGTGGAACAAAAAGAACATAACACATACAGAAAACAAACAGCAAAATAACTGACATGAATCCTACTTTATCAGCAAACACATTAGATACAAGTGGATTAAACTCAGATTAAAAAGCAGAGAACTGCAGAATGACTAATAAAACAAGACTTATATGCTGTCTAGAAAAGGCACACTATAAAGACAAAGATAGACTGGAAGTAATCTTTTACAGAAGGAGATACACCCTATAAACAGTAACCAAGAGAACACAAGTGGCTACGCTGAGACAAGGATAACCCCAATGTCTTGTACTAATGAAAAACTGAATTAGTAGTTAAAAACTTTTCAACAAAAAAAATTTCAGGCACATATATTTTTACTGGAAAATTCATCCCATAAGGTAAGAAAGCAATAATACAAATGGAAACTACTCAACATGTCTGAGTAACACTTTTCCATTCAATTTACAAAGTCAGCAGTATCCTGGTATCAAGCCAGACAAAAGCATTGCAAAAAATATACTACAGAATGTCTTACTATCATAAATGTATACATCTTCAACAAAACACTAGCAATGCATTATTTCAACAATATATTAAAAACAGAACACATTATGGTCAAGTGGTATTTAAAATGGGACAAGAAGGTAAGTTCTATTTATTGATAGAAGGCTGATTATTACTGAAAAACCACCAATGTAATTCAGCAAATAAAGTAAAGAAAAAAGTCATGATCATCTGAACACTTGCAGAGAAAGTATTTGACTAAATTCAACTTGTACTAATGACAAAAATCCTCAGCAAAAGTGAAGTCATAGAAAAGTGAAAAGTGAAAGTCATGTCCGGCTCTTTGCCACCCCATGGACCCTACTGTCCGTGGAATTCTCCAGGCCAGAAAAGTAGCCTTTCCCTTCTCCAGAGGATCTTTCCAGCCCAGGGATCAAACCCAGGCCTCCTGCATTGCAGGCGGATTCTTGACCAGTTGAGCCACAAGGAAAACCCAAAGTAACAGAAGGGGAATTTACTTAACCTGAAAAAGCATCTACCA